TATTTATAGCCACTCGAGTTCACATAAGAACGACAACTAAGTCGCAATACTGAGATTCACAAATCTATAAACGTGGCGTATATGTTCTTATCATTATAAAATATATTGTACTAAAAAAACATAAACAATCGTATACAATGAAACTAGTCTATCAATCTGTCATAAGTGCATTTAATTCGAACGAATCTTGGTCCAACGCCAAAAAGATTGAATAAAAATTTGGCAAAGATACGTAGCCGTAAAGTATAGGAAAATTTCCATTCAAGAATAATACGATCAAAATTGATCCAAATAAAGTTGGAACAGTATGCAGGGTATATTTCTAAATTAAGAATGTTAGATTTTAAATTTTACTTTTGTTGAGGACATATTTTTTGTATGTATTCGTTACCTAATATAAATTTCATTGCACCTACCACTATTTACTCTGCACTACCTTTGGTTGACTGGTAGAGAATGCCTTAGGCATTAAGTCCGCCAATGTAAATTTTACATGAAGTGTAATAAATAAATAAAAAAATAAAAAAAATATTTCATCAGAAAAATTGGTACCTGCCTACAAGATTTGAACACCGGCATAGTCTATCGCTCGATACGAATGCACGGGTGTCTTATCCTTTAGGCCTCGACGACTTAAAAAGCATATCCCATTGTAGCTTTATAGTTCCTTATAATGGTGCCCTAAGCACCACCTTTTAATTTCAATGAAATATATTCTAGTGCTACTTTCAAAATATATTATAATCATATTATAATTGGCACCCAAACAACAAACAACACAAAACAATGAAGTGTCAAACTTATAACACCCCTCGTTTCTCGGGTTCGGGTATTAAAATACATTAAAGAGATNTCACATCGCTTCGGAATAGAAACCAGCTTAATTTACACTATGTTGTGTATTGTGCTTAAATTATGGATTGTATTCATCATTTCGGTCCATATAAATAATTATATGGCACCTACCTATATATCGCAGTACTGCGAGTTGACAACCCTTACAAATATCCCAATTTAACCCTTAACCGTGTCAATTTACCCCGGACGCTGGGTAAATTGGGACGACCATTATTTTACCGATTATTTCTTTAAAATTAATAATTAAAATTATGTTACGGTTTTTATCACCTAGGTACGTTCAAGACTCAACTTATTTCTTTGGTTGAGCAGTGACTATTTAATTGGAACTATTTTAAAATTCAATCTGAAGGTCGATTTTGTCCCTATTTACCCCATTGTACGGTACAAAATGCTTACGTGTGAGTCTGTATATGTAACTTTGAGATGAGTTTGTATTTTGTTTTCAAAACTGACGTCATCGTAAATTTCAACAACTATTCCGACTTCAGTTATAATAATGTACCTATAAAACACGGGTCTATTTTAAATGGAATATTCCAGACTATGTCAGATTTGGGCCGTTCCAACATCGATGCGAAATTGGAACACATCTCAGGGAATGGAAAGTTCCGAAAACCATTATTGTTATTGTGTTTGTGATGCTCGAAATTATTATTATTTTTATGTCTAGGAAATATAAAATGATTGTACTGTAAATATAATTTTATTGCTTCTGATCTGACGTAACCGGCGGTGAGGTGAAGGACCGCTGCAAACTTATTCGTAATTTCTTAGGATTTTGTGATTTATATTAATCGAAAATGTATTTTTTAAACGATCACTATTAGTTTTTATTAGTATGCAAATTGTTATGAGCTAAAAGTCATTAATAAATTTAGCGTATGTAATATAGATTACCGTTTATATTTTAACAACCGTCATATAATCAGAGTTGATTTTTTCTTAGTTTATATGGGAGATGAGATCGCGATCTAATTAGTGAGGATGATAGTTTAAGGAACCAGAAGTGAGAGATTGTTAAAAAAATTAACAATTAACCCAAAAAGGGGATCTTTAGTATCAATCTTTAACAATGAGATTTATTTACACTCAGATCCTATGCCATAAGTACAATTTTATGACAATTCCAGTGGCACTGAAGGAACAATCAAACAATAAATTGGTACAGGCTTACAAATCATACCAAGTCAAACCGACAGTACCGACAGCACTTCCGTACGCAACCGCGTCCCAAAATGTAATGGCCACGAACCTATTCCGTGATATTTTTATAAGCAGAGGCAACCTACCCACCCACAAAAATGTCAAAAAAAGCTAAACATCTAACAGTAGATATTAGGTGAATACCGAAACTTAGCTTGGGATACGTAGTCGGAATCTCATCTAATGGTAATACGACGTCTTTTAAAATCCACGGGTAAGTTTCACCACCCTGCCTACTTCAAAATGGTGCGTTTCATTTTGAAGGATTGGATAGCCGACATGCTAAGCAATTGAGACTTATTCCTCGTTTAATAGTCAGAAACTTGCGTAATTAGCGGTGGTATTGTATTTTGATATCACGCAAACATCCCGCATACTTTTCGTGAAGCAACGCTGTACACAAAAGAAAAAATTCACATTATTTTCTCCCTCAATATTCGAATTCAAACTTTTGAATACTCAAGCGAAACTCGCGATTCTCTTACGCATAATCATCATTGTCATTTCCGTAATGGCTGACGGAGGGCACTTAATCCCACTCGTGTTTAGTGGGCCATAACGACCGCAACCGTCAGATCCCCGAAAGGGTTGTTCGCCCTTCAAGTTTGGAGTGTTCACTTCTTATAAAATTTTTAGGTCGTTCTTTCTCATGCGATACGTTACTTTGCGTCAACCTTAATTATTTATTCGCATTGATATCCAACATTTGCGAATAATCATAATATGGTTTCATTAAATACGGCTTATCACAAAGCTCTCCTCGAAATGAGCTTGCTCGGAGCTCTTTAGCATCGATATTTGACCAGAGAGTGCTATTGTCGGTGCTCTCACAAGATTAGACGCAAACATTGTGGTCAAAGCCTTTGTCAGCCAATTAACACATGCCCTGTTCCCAAGTTGGCCAATATCCGTAACTCGACCAACAAATGCGTTTGCTATTTGAACGGTTCCCTGAACCTTTAAAGCCATACAAATTACGGCAAAAGGCGACGGTCTGTTTCTTTGTCTTACTTACGTAGACCCTAAAAGTATTATTCGCAAATGAAGAGTACAATAAATAAGGTGTACATACGAATGTAAGGTGCTAAAACTCAGAGTATACGAGCTACGCTTTAAATCACACTAGAACGTTTTCTGCACACGTACATAGATACGGCACCAGAAACTAAGACTAAAAGCCTTTCCGCTTAATAAATATCGAACTTCCTTGAGGCTGGTTTGAAACGCCGCCGGTCGTCAATTGTACAGACAACTCCGTACAATGCAGTGGATTATATAGTTATCTATACGAGTAATATATTTTGTGTTCAATTCTGGCCCTAAAAGGGATTATTTGTTGTAAGAAATATACTGTCTGTTATTTTAAAATTGTCGATATACAAACAACCTCACTGCCCTGCACTTCTGAAAGGTTATCAAATCTCATAGACAATAGAACGTAATTTTCACTGTCCGTATTAAAACATGATGTTGAAGACTCAATTGCTTTATGAAAGCAACTCAAACCGGAACACATGACTATTTCGCGACAATGCTAAGGCAGTTTAATATTTTTAGGTTTGATTTTAATACTATCGCCTATTTAATACTATTCTCTTATCGTGGATGTTTTTGGCACTTGCCTACTGCATTTGGATACTGGCATTGTCGCATCGGTTAATACCAGTACATCAGGAATCTTATCGTTTACGTCACGGGGACTCCAAACTGGTGTTGAAGCTTAATTTGTTGTTGATAGGCCGTACTGTGAGCCCTATTGAGTAAATCCGTTCTGTATGTCTACCTCGAAGTAGTTGTGCTATCCTGTTTGATATGCGTCGGACAGTGGTTATATTAAGATTCCGACTTCAAATCTCAGAAAGTATTCACGTTCTGATGTACCACCTAGTTTGGGTTACGAAAATGTTGAACAACTCATCTGTCTAATGGAGCAAAAAATGAAATGGAACAAAATCATTTTATACCATCACATCCAATTAACAAAAAAAAACGACCTCATATTTAAGTTTTCTCCATTTGTACGTCTGCTCTTCGTAATTAATGAGATTAGTGTACTGTGGGTGGTGTGGTTAAGTGTTTCGAGGGACAATATTTATTCAGGGGCCTCGCTTAATGTGTTCTTTGATAATATCAGAGGTTTTGTTAGTTTTAATAGGATTTACACTTGCTCGGGCCAAACAATTTTGTGACAAACAAGACAATAAACATTTCGTAGGAACTTTCTTGGAAATCTACAAAATACTAGGTGAGAGCGGCTATGATTTCAGTTGAATTGTTTTGTCTTCTACGAGCAAATAAAACTTGATATTATCGGGCTGAAAAGTATCCATTATTAAGGAATCTCATTTTAAAAACTAGTTTAAATTTAAGTTTCAATATATTATTATATGAATTGTGAACTTCGGGCGATGAACCTTACCGTTTTTTTATCTATTTCTCCACTGCTGAACGAAGTAATAATAAAGCAAATAATGTTTGGTATTTAAGTTGTGTAATAATTATAATTTTACAGCGACGTATAAAACTAAAGAAAACTATTTATTAAAATGGTATGCAGGTATAGTTTTACGGTTCTTTATCTCTTCTGATTATAATTACAAATGGCCGCCATAACAAAAATACGTAGCATTGAAAAAGGGTTTAGTTTTTATGTAACACAATTCATAGAACATTCTCGCTAATTTAATTCGTAATTCATTAATTAGATAATTATAATACAATGCTTTGAATCTTAACCTGCCATTAGACCGACCTAATATTATGAAAATAATTTTAGTATGTGTTTGAAAACGACTTTTAAAAACTTATTAACGTGTTCTTGTTTCTTTTGTATTTATTAATACTGTAATTAAAATAAAGTAGTCAACAAAGAGAACCGCTTAACCTTAACCTAACGGCTCAACTGGATTTCCGTACTAATAGTATCTGTTTCGCAGCGGACGAGAATGGTTCCATATCCGAGACGATACCGGACCGACCTGTCGAGCTAAAGAACTTCACGAAGCTCTGCGAACAGCGACGGAAGTTTCCAGTGCTTTACAAACTCGAGTTTCAGGTAAAGTATAATATAGTCATGTAAATTTTTGTAGCATAAGCGCTCAACTCACATCCCCAGTTTTATCAAAAGAACGCCGTAGCACGTATATCGTCTTCTCGCAATAAAACTGTACTAGACGATGACCGATGATTTTTTTTTATTGCCAGATGAGTGGACGAACTCACAGCTCACCTGGTGTTAAGTGGTTTCATGAGCCCATAGACATCTACGACGTAAATGCGCCACCCACCTTGAGATATAAGTTCTAAGGTCTCAAGTATAGTTACAACGGCTGCCCTCCCCTTCAAACCGAAACGCATTACTGCTTCGCGGCCGAAATAAGCAGGGTCGCTGGTTCTACCACCAGTAATTACGCAAATTATCATTTTGCGGGTTTGATTTTTATTACACGATGTTATTCTTTCACCGTGGAGGTCAATCGTGACCATTTTTAAAATACGTATAACATTAGAAAAATTGGTACCCGCCTGGGATTCGGACACCAGTGTATCGCTCAACACAACTGCACCGGACTTCAATTACTTTTACTAATTACTTATTACTTAAATTTTATGTAGATTATGTAAATTTTGTCTAAAGGTAAAGGCATTGTATGGCATGTTGCCATGTGTATAGACTCCGGAACCACTTAGCACCGAGGGGGCCACGGCTCAGGACCTTGTGCTCCCTTCCGTGAAACAACTAAAGATTGTCAGTGGCACATGCGTAAACTGTGCGATGCCGATTAAAAAAAAATTATAAGACATCTCTCAAGTTTGACAGCCGTATTCATTCGTGATGCCGACGAAACAATTTTTCTCGTAACAAGATCCATCTAACAAAAAAAAAACAAGCTGATGTAACAAACAGAGTCGCAGCTCCCGAACTAACTTCTGCAACTCTAACTAACGAACGTCCGTGCCGAAAGATTGTACCTCTGTCGCTTTTAATGAGCTTTTATTTTGGATTAAGTTTTAGGTTTTCCGAGGAAGCCGCCAGCATGTAGCTTGTAGCTGTCGCAAAGACCTACAGTACTGACAAAAAATTACTAAACTATCAGATATTTAATACTAACCAAAAATAGTTTAGTTTTCATATAATTCACGGATGTGATCGCAACTTCAGTCTAATAGTTAGCAACCCTAATGGACCACAAACTCCAGGTTCGATTTCCGATGCGAGTCATCTTTGTAAGATATTCAAACTGGACTCTGATACTCCTTTTGCTTACTAAAGATGAATTTTACGTAAACCCTATCTAGCATGATTTCTTATCTATCACCGCCTCCATTAAGGCAACGCATACGCATTGCAAAATATGCCACTGTAACCGTTGCTATAGGACTAATATTCAATGGATTACAGAGTGACACAATCGACTCTTTATCCGCGAAAATGGGAATGTATTCCATTCTTTCTGAATAAAAAAATTTGGTAAAACTGCGTGTCACGTAACTAAAGTCCAAATCCCGGAATAATAGACAGAAGTCTCATATCACATCCTTCGAATACAATAAGGGATGACAAAGATAATCTGCGAGAGTGTTCTTGATTATTTTACTTTCCCGTACTTTGATCTCCAGCCAAGTATTTCCATTACAGGAATCTTGTAAGCCGCCATTATGGACTGTTGTGATATTGTGATATAACACAATCCATTATTATACGCGCATGAACTGTGGAGTTTGTTGCGGTTCATATTTTTCTAGTATAGCAACAAATGACAACTTTTTTTTATTTTTTTTATTGCCCTTGTAGGCAGACGAGCATACGGCCCACCTGATGGTGAGTGGTTACCGTCGTCCATGGACTTCAGCAATGCCAGGGGCAGAGCCAAGCCGCTGCCTACCGCTTAATACTCTCCACAAGCCTCGTTTGAAGAAGGACATGTCATAGCGCTCAGGAAACACCGTGGAGGGGAGCTCATTCCATAGCCGGATGGTACGTGGAAAAAAAGATCTCTGGAAACGCACTGTGGATCACCGCAGTGGCTCCAGGTAGTATGGATGAACTCTACTCCGGTGGCGGGCGGTGCGATGGTAAAAACGAGATGTCGGTATCATCTCGAACAATTCCTCAGAGCACTCCCCATGGAACATACGGTACAGAATACAGAGTGAACCGAAGTCCCTCCGCAGACCCAGAGGCTCCAAACGAGCAAACAAATGTAGCGAGTTAATGCAACAGATCTTGTGAATGTATATCTAAAGTGGATGTGGATGTAAGATGTTTTAAAACTAAAGAAGATTCTGTAATTTAAAATAGCAAATGCAATTAGCAAATTAAAGTTTCAAGTTTGATATTAGTCATATTGTTTATTATTATTTTATTAAATTGCCTGTAAACAATTTCAAAACATTTATATATCCTTGGCTTATATGATAAGATGGCCGATGTATCAACATCGAGTAATGCGACTATTCCAGCTTAAAACGCAAAAGCTCGTCAACATATACTAAATAAAAGTGAAAGATACAAATAGAGGTAAAATGATATTGAACTGTTTTAATTTTTAGTCTATCTAGAAATAGATACGTATCCAACTAGTTTAATTCACAATGTATTTTGTAAAACTGAATCTTCAATCCCCCAATGCCCCAGCTGAACCTTTCTCAGTGTGCGAACCAAGCAATTTCTAGCTTTCTTGTTCCAAAGCGGTCTCATTCTAACTATTGACTTTGAGGTTAAAGTAAAATTGGTCGACTCAGATAAGCCGAGCGAACGGTGGCTCTGTATTTTGTATTGAGTCTGTCCACTAGCCCTTTTATTACAATTTTCTCTACGCAATGTTTTTTAAATAAACCGAGATTTTTACGGGTATTTTTTTTTGCTCTACTATATTAAATCAGTAAGATGAATGCTAACTGTTTGTAGCTGGAGCGTACTGGAAACATTTTAAAAGGGCGTAAATCCATTATTAATGTTTAGGGATTTTTTAATTATTTTATTATTGCTTAGATCAGTGTACGATCTCACGTAGGGATCAGTGGGAGATCTTAAATAGTTACCAGGCCCTATAGACATAGGCGGCTTACACCTTGTAATATTCACGGACTCAGTAACCCAATTACACCAGCTGGGCCGTGAGCATGGCCACCAATGGCAACTGGAAAAATAATAATTTAGTAATATTAGTAACGGCAAATGTATTATTAAATTTCTGTTTTTTTTTACACAATCATCATCATCGGCCTTTATCTGTCCAGTACTGGATGTAGGCCCCTTTCATAGTCCACCACAATGAACGGTCTTTTGACTTCTTCGTCCAATAATTTCCCGCCTCTCGCCCCAAGACATCGGTCCACCGGACAGGGGGGCGCCCAACGCTGCGTTCGCCAGTACGTGGTCTTCAGTCCAGAACGCGTCTGCTCCATCGGCCAGTGGTTATGCGATACGTATATCTGGCCCATTGCCACTTCAGCTTGTTAATCTTTAGGGATATGTCGGTTACTTTGGGTCTTCGATGGATTTCCTCATTTCTGACTCGATCCATCGAATAAACTCCGAGCATACCCATTTCCATAGCACACTGAGCGACTTTAAGCTTACGGACTAGACCTACGGTCAATGTCCACGTTTCAGCGCCATATATCATGACCGGTAGCACACAAACTACCATAATGTTCCCTAACCCTAGAACGATAACTCGTTGAGTACCTGAATGAGACCACTGACTGCTATAACTTGAGATGGATGGCTGAACTGTAGTGTAAAAGCCTACCTTACAAGTCTAATAGGTCATATTCTGAACAAAAACCGCTACCATTTTCCCTTCGCACGTTCCTTGCCCGTGTATATTTTGCGTGATGAATAATTAGCATATCATTTTTTACAAGTTTATGGGAAAGAAATATTGATACCTAGGCGAAAGGCCTACACTAATTACGATATTATCGTGTTTAAAAAAAAACACAACTCTATTAAAGAATTCAACTGACAGAATCACATTAATAAATCGGAGCAACGCGGCGCCAAACGTGTTACGTAACAAATAATAATACTTGTCATCAGCTATATATTTATATATATATTTTTTACGATTAATTTCCATGTTTCAGAAACACGATTTCTAAATTTACAACTTTGTGTAGTTCTTTGATAGTTTCATGTTGTGTGACGAATGTTTTGTAGTTCTCTTGATCGTCTAACGAGGGATATGTCTTATTTTAACAGCGGGAAGACAAAATTGATTTATCTACCGATTAGTCTAATGGCTACTTCACAAAAGTACCGCACTGAATGTATTCGATTAGGATTTAGCATTTAGCGCGGGTAGGTACCACCGCCCTGTTTATTTCTGCCGTGCAGCAGTAATGCATTTCGGTTTGAAGTGTGGGGCAGCCGTTCTAACTATACTTGAGACCTTAGAACTTATATCTCAAGGTGGGTGGCGCATTTACGTTGTAGATGTCTATGGGCTGCGGTAACCACTTAATACCAGGTGGCCTGTGAGCTCGGCCACCCATCTAAGCAATAAAAAAAGTATTGAAAAGTTTTATTCTATTAGGTATTTACGAGTATATCTTGTTTACTTATAATGCCAAACCTAAAATGATTAACATATCGAACAATGTTTGCCAACATGCGGACAATCACAATCCCGTGGGTAAATCTCAAGTCACTGTCAACATAAAGGTATTCCTCTCGTACACATCAATGCTAAATAAGCCACATCTGCATTTCTCGATAGGTGGTATTTTATTACTTGATCGCATTACGTTAAGGTTCATTTTGTTTATAGTTCGACAAGAATATGTTACGTTTAATAACTGACCTAGGCCAGGTCGAGCCAAATAAAGCCTCGCAAGTAGGTCACGTCACTTAGAGCTCAGTCTAGATTACTCTAGATAACTTTTTGAGACACTTAAAAAGAGATTTATGTTGTCTGGGTGAATGTTATTTATGTGAAGTTCAGGAAGCTATTAGAAGAAAAGCAGAGAGTAACTTGGTCTCAACTAAGAGTTTTAGGTCTTTTCACCTCACGAATATAGGTATATTTTATTTAGCCGGTGACATTCACTTCGAATTTGCTTATGGATTTCCCCCTTTTTTTTTCAACCTATACGTCGGTAGCCTTAAGGGTTATTCTAGTTAGGCACGGATTGGTAGGTGAGCTCTCGCACTCAATCTGAGAGTGTTGCTAACACTGACCCTAGCAAGAGCACTGCTTCGCAGAATTTACCATCGGATCGTAATTGTGACAAACTAAGAAGATCCGACGCCAAACTCAGTGGGTTAAAGATTTCACCATTTAACACAGGCTAACTTTCCCACGCTCGCTTTCCCAGACACTTTCCCACGACCGTTAAAAATAGTTATCATAGCTATAAATATTTTCAAATGACATTAACAGCAGTCGCTATCGCTTTGCGTTTGACAGAGTAAGCAAAAATAACAAATAACCATAGAAAAAATCACGCACGGTCACCCGGCCTAAAATTAGGATTCCCTGTGTTACGGATACCAAAGACTGGCATACAAATTGAAATAGGTCTAAATATATATATATACATAATAATAATATAATGCATGTATACATAATAAACACCCAGACAAAGAGCAAACAAACCTGTTCATCACACGAATGCTCGACCGATGTGGGAATCGAAAGCCCATGACCCCCGGAGCAAAAGTCAGGGTCACTAACTACGGCACCACCAAGTCAACCCTAAAAAGAAACCTAGATTAATGGTACATTAATTGTGAATGGGTTCTTTAATGTCTGGTTTTCTATTGTTACAGACTGCGATCAAGGTCGAGATGCAGTTGTGCCGGCACGCAACGAAGAAGACAAATCTACACAAAAATCAGAATCAAAAAGTTATACCTTGTGAGTATGGTTATTTTTATATTGCCCTATTAGGAGTTTGCTTGGAGTTTATTGTAATACCCTCTGTATGAGGAGTAGCATGCAGCTATGAAAGAAATTGGTGATGGCTCGTGGACATCGGCTATGTTAGAGGCACAGCCGAGAAATTAATTACCTTCAGCTAAATATTCTCTATAAGCCTCATTATAAAAAAATACGTGTCGGGGCAATGCTGCATCACTGTGGTGAGAATTCATTATCCTTTCAACAAATGTGGAAGGTACGAGTAAGTTCGCATTGTATCCGAGTTAAGTGATTCCAGTATTGCCATTCTATAAGCGTTGTGTGTCAAACTCGCATATCAATCCGCCGTTGGCATCCTATAAATTCAATTGCAAATTCGAATCTTCGCTCTCGTGAGAGCGGTAACAAGTTGAAATAAGCATTTTAAGTTTTTGACATTTAATGTATGAGATGATGTACAGTTTAAATAATTCTCGACATTATAGGCATAAGGCAATAGAATAATGACAATAGGTGGTAAGACTTCTTGCAAGTCCACTCGGGTAGGTACCACCACCCTGCCTATTTCTGCCGTGAAGCAGTAATGCGTTAACCTAATAAGTAGTTAGGTATAATTATTTTTACCGTTGTGTCTATTCCTCCGTGTAATGCATTTCTTTACAGCGCCTAGTGGCTATCTATGGCCTTCGGTGATCAGTTAACGCGTTTTCTGATTAGAAGCAGCTTTCGAACCTAAAATATCCGAAGCATGTATTATATAAGACGCAAGGATTTAAGTATGCAAACACTACGAGCTGAGAGCCAGAGAAACGTCTAGAATACTTCGTCTAGAATCCTTCGTCGTCTGCAATTTGTCGTGAGCGTGACACAAAGGGAATTTGCGGTCCCCGCGGTTATTGTTCCCAGTTTGTTACGGTTCACAGCACCTGTTCGCTTTCTGTACTTTGACAAAACATGTGCGACGCGACTCACCTATGTAAAATCGAGATGAAGATTATTTTAGATTTTTAAATTAAAGTTAGACTTTTTGATATCTCCAATTCTACTAAATAGATCTATCTATCTATACATATTCTAGTAATAGTATATAGTAAGCCTAGTAATCCCGAAAATATTATTAATTATTATATCTCAATTTACCTGTAAGTTCATTTTGACAGAAACGAAGTAAATTACAAATTATATATTAACATTTATAACTTTTTTTTCAAGCCCCAGTATTTTATAAAATTACAATATATTTACTATCTATTAATCATATATCAAATGAAAAGTATAAACAAGCTTAAGTTCACATCAATATTAGTCCTAGCAAGTTTAATTCAATCACAAAATTAACATGCAAAGCATTCCAAAAGCATTAATTATATTATGAAGGCAAGTGATAAAATCTTTTCACTTAATAGACATAATATCTTCATTTTAGAATTAAGTACACTGTGCATCGACTAATGTTTGTGTGTTTATATCGTGTAATAATCATTTGGTGTTTTTTCCCAGATGATTACAACAGAGTGGTGCTAGACACTATAGACCGGGAACCAGACTCGGATTATATAAACGCTTCTTACATAGATGTGAGTATTTAATTATTAATTACTTTATTATGTAAACACGACACGGGATAAACTATAATATACAAAACTCATATGTGCGAAAGAGACAGAAAACCTCTCTCAATTCCACCCAAAGATATTAAACTTTTATCTTGGTTTATTACCCATTTTCAATGAACTAATTCTGCTATCCACATAACGGTAGTTATAATAGAACACAAGATATTTGATATATCACCTGATTCACGCTAACGATATTTTCGAGATAACTTTGCATATATCCAAAATCGGAATAATTACACCCACTCGGTAGAAGATCTTGCCTTTTTCGTTATTCATAAAGACTTGACAATATTCCTCTCGACGCCCGTTGGTTTTAATAATCTACCTCATCACCATCATTATCATCAACAGCCATCAAATCTGTCTACACTGACTACGTCCAGCTAATATACGCTACTGAGCTCCATCTTCGACGACGACAATTACCTCACCACTTAACCGTTCTATTTTTCTAAAATTCTAAAGACTGTAGCAGCACCCTCTTTGCTTTTAGAAACGAACTCAATCCGTTGTACCCCTTTTTGGCTCACGTACGCCGATATTACGTTCAATAAGACCCTTCCACATTGAAATTGGGATCACGTTCAACGTTAATGATCAAACACATTGTTGCACAAAGTGAGTCTCCATAGTCCTGTGATCGACTCTTTAGTGACAAAATATCCTTTGAGTGAATAAGATTAGGTTACCGTAATTTTGGGCTTTTACGTTACTTTCTTTGTGTCCTTGAAAAAGATTTGTTCCTTTTTTAAGTTGGGTCTTTACGCATATGATCTTTTGGCACGATGCTTGGAAACTTGAGAGCCAGTGAACATTGCTAATGCCAACTATGTAAAACTGGGGATCTCCAATTCGGTGCCCAGAAATATAACGCTTGTAGAACAGAGACGTATGCATCTTCATTTGTTTCATTATAAAAATGAATAAGACCTTAAGAATAATATTTTTAACAGTCATCTCAATCGGACTTATAGAGCTTCCAACACTGATTGGGAATATGACTATTTAAAGCTTTTAAAACAATGAGTAAGTAATGCTCTGTAGAGATTATAGACTGTTTGTCGGCGAATTTATCGCCTTTTATTGTTTAGCTATTGTCATTATCAGACTGTTGATATGTAACTAAAATAATAATAGCAAATGGAAAGACAATTCCTGCAACCTAAAGTCGACCTTCATTCGTATTTAGAATATAATCACAAACCATTTTTAAAAACATAACAAAACGAAACTTCTAGATAATAAAGTAAATTAGAATTTGTAACGTGAGTCACTTCAGTCCAATATAGGAGGAAATTAAAGGCATCCGAGAAATAATCTTGTTAGCGAACACATTATTGTACCTACTAATGGTTGAGCTTCACGTATCATTTGAAAAATAGCTTTGCAATTCCAAAGCGAAAAAGGTTAATTGGATAATATTTTTCAATGATATCCTAAATAAGCAGACCCTTACTTACAAACTTTACATTGCATTAGCATTGTGTGCTTTAAGAGTCTGTAAAGACACATGTATTACTCTTGAGGTGGACCGTGCCATCTATTTGACACTAAAATGTCAATATATCAAAGTTCTAAAACTAAGGGGCTACTAGGTATTTCCCAACACTTCAATCACCAAAGACACTTTTGGTCGTATATCGATAATTCTTCTCACTTCATCCACATTTGCCTCTTGTATTAATTTCGGGATTGTTGGAAGACAAAGACCTATACACTTCAGTTATTAGTCAGTAACCTATACCTGAATTGTCCATTATAGTCTTTGTCAGGCCTTCGTCTTCCGATGTATTGTGATTGAAAATTGTGGCCTTTTCGAATTCCCGTAATTACATTACCGCTCAAACGTCATTCAACGAAAAATTCGATATTCATTACCCATCATTCACTATCGTACCGAATGCAAATGTTTTACGATTGCCATTTAAGGCGGAATCTGCGTTTGGTCGCTCAATATACCAGCTGAATGGAGCTCATTATTTTTTTATGAAGTCATAAAGAACTGTAATATACCAGACCAAGCCCTGTGCTCAAGCACTAAACATTTATAAACGTTTTTACACCGCATAAAATCTTCGTTACGTTTAATCAGATACGAAGGTGCCATAACTAGATATTACTTCAGTTATTGGCTCTGGTGTTTTATTGGCGAAAATGCTACCTATGGCAGATGATGTTCAATGTTCGATGTGATTCAGAGTTAGTACAGAGATGCATCGTTACTTTCATTTTAATTTCGAACTATAATGTGAACCCATACTCAATAGTGAATCGAATTAAATATAACTAATTACACATATCGATGTGAGGGATGAAAAATACCTGATTTAAATCGCGTCAGTAATATCCCTAATAGATTAAATAAGATCTTAAAACAGTGGCTGATCTTTTATTCTAGAAAGTAGACAGTAGGAATTATGTTCCTCTAAAGTCGTTTATACTTTCCCCTATTTATCTTTAATAATAAATATGTAAAATTGTAAAGATTCTAAAGAGAACGCAAATGAAAGTTTCAAATAAAATCTATTTGATCAAGTTAATAATATGCACGATGAACAGTTTCCAGAAAATATAACTTGTTTATAAAGGTAATGTCTCGTTTTAAACTAGTATTTAAAGTAGTATTTGACAAAACTAACAACGAACCTTTTTTTTTTTTTTTTCAATGAAACTCACGGATTTTTTCTTGAAAATCTTAATTTTTTGTTGCAATTCCAAAACACCCCTAAATACATTTCTTTATTCTTTTTTTCTACTTATGGTGATAGCCTTGAGAGGCTATTTCAGCTTCACCCTAAAGTGTAGGTGAGTTCAAATCGGAGTGTTGCTAACAGTGGCCCTAACAAGAGCAGTGCTTCGCGAATCTACCACCGGATAGGAAACCTGGCCCACTGAGAAGATCCAGTGAGAAACTCAGTGGGCTGTATCTATGGGTTAATTCGTTTGTCGAGCCCTTCGTTGGAAGCGACGGATTCGACGAGGACGGTGACCGGTGCTTGGTACCACCAGCTAAGGCTGCTTTTGCAGCGTTAATGGATCTGGAGGATCTGTAATGATGTATTTTGGGCGACTTCGACTGTTTACCATTCGGTCTACAGGATGGGGTATGCCCTAAATACTAGCGACCATTCCTTTGTTCACAGAGTTTATTAAAGCCTAAGGCGTACATAGTAACTCAGGGGCCAACCGAAGACACAGTCGTGGATTTCTGGCGGATGATCTGGCAGGAACGAGCCGCCGCCATTGTCATGCTCACTAAGACATTCGACTTCATTAAAGTGAGTATTGTTAGAAACAGTAGGAGCACCTGCTACCAAGGTAAGTCGTGTAGCAGCAAGTCTGTATAGGTAACATGTCTATTTCTGTGACGAAACAGTCGTACGCGATCTGATAGGTTATTATAATAAAACAATTGAAACTTTATGGCTACGTCTCAAGATCCACAATCACAATCAGGTAGGGTCTATGGGCTCGTAAGCTCAGCTTTGCCAGTGAAAATCATAATTAGTTTCCTACTGCTGAATCCTGAGGCATTGAACAGAGGAGTTTATTTTAATAACGGTAGGCAGCGGCTTGACTCTGCCCCTGGCATTGCTGAAGTCCGTGGGCGACGGTAATCACCATCAGGTGGGCCGTATGCTCGTCTGCCTACAAGGGCAATAAAAAAAAGTACCTCTTCTTGTATACGTGAGCTGCAATGCGTGTTCATCTGTATACTCAGGAAATTAAAAAAAGTGTACAAAAATCATGTTTTAGTTTTCGCTTGTTCACTGGCATATGTACCGCTGCCAGGAGTTGTTACAAAACGAATAAGTATCAACTTGCTTATTTCTATCGTCAACATATTCCAATTTGGAGGACCTAGCAACCCTGTTGCAAAACAATTGACCTTCGGTCTTATGTCGCCAGATGGGTGGCGGCATTCAAGTTGTGATATCTACGTGTTTCAGTAGTCACTTAACACCAGCTCGTTCAGACATTTATGGAAAAGAAAATATGAAAAATATTTTCCTGAACTCAACCGTTCTATTTGCTAAGCGCTTGTCTGTCCACAGATAGAAAAAAAAAAAACAAAAAAAAACAAACCGCGTCAATCGACACTTTTATTTGCGAACACACCCATAGGAAATAGGACAGGTGAATTTATTTACCTGGTTTTTTCAATGAGAAAAAATAGTGACATTTACCTTTATCAAACCATTTAGTGGCAGTCCAAATAAAGTTGGGACAATAGAGGTCATCGTATTGAAGAGTATTTGTGAGTTTCATTGTGTGGTCAACACTGACCAGATAGTAGAACTTGACAACTATTGTTTGGTGTACATTGTTTGTTTCTGCAGTATTTATTTTGTGTTATTATTTGATCATGTATTTAATAGTTGATTCTGAGATACCTTTATCTCTATTGAAACCTAGAGTATAATTGACATCAATTGGAAAATGAATGAACCGAAGCAATAATTTTAGTGCCTCAAATAAAATCTTTGAATTTTGTTTTTTTTTAAGATAGTCGTCAGGTCACAACCCACCGTCAAACATAAGATTAACGTCCCAATATTATTTGTTCAACAGTTGTACTGCATTCAAACCAAATCACATCTCGTCCTTTCTGGATCAACTAGTACCCTTTAGCAAAAGCACAAAAACCTATTGGAATTGAAACAAACAAAAAAAAGCCCAACCTTGTAGGTTTGTAACGTATATGAGACTACCAGTATAATTTTCAATATTTTTCGTACTCCCCTATTTAAATATAAAAATTTTGATTGCTTATGTATTTACAAGAGCATGCGACGCCCCTAGTTGTAATAAAAAAATGTTTAATTTGATGGGTAGACGAGCTCACGGCCCACCTGGTGTTAAGTGGACACAGTAACCCATAGATATCAACGATGTAAACGCCGCCATTAACCTTGATACTAAAGTCTAAGTTTTACAATACAACGGGTAACCATTGAAACCGAAGCCATTATTACTTCATGGTACAAACACGTTAGGTGGTGCTAACTACAAGCGCGGGCTTATAAGACCCCTTACCACTGTTGATTTAAATATACCAACTCTCTGCCTACCTACATTACGTTGAAGAAAACTATTCGGGTCTTAATAAAGAATTCCTCATTACGTTTCCAATAACACCTGATAGATTTTTGAAATGAGAAATTTAGTATAATTTTCAGAATTTGAATTTTTGTTCTAACAGCTGCAGAGCCTTTGGAACCAATTCAAATAAATACATAGGTATAGTCTTAAAGGGTTTTGTTCACTACTTAATTTAATGCTAATTGTTCTTTAGGTTATGTGCGTCCAGTATTGGCCACCAAACAAAGAGAAAGATGAAACGTACGGAGACATCAGCGTCGGCATCGTGCAAGAAGAGGAGCTCGCCAATTTCTTCATAAGAACCTTCCGACTTTATAAGACTGAGAAGGGTGTAAGTTTTTCTCTTTTCCGCAGTATAAAGTTGAATTAAAAAAAAACACAAAAAAAAACGTAAATTTCTTAAGCAATTTAAAAAGGGGATGCTTGCTCTTATCAAGGGTGTAAATATATTGTATACCGCAAAATTAATAAGACAAATGTGACGTCACGAAGACTGTATAGTACTGTACGGTGTTTTTTTTTAATGCTTAAATGGGTGGACGAGCTCACAGGCCATCTGGTGTTAAGTGGTTACTGGAGCTCATAGATATCTACGACGTAAATACGCCACCCACCTTGAGATAGTTCTAAGGTCTCAAGTATAGTTACAACGGCTGCCCCACTTTTCAAATCGAAACGCATTACTGCTTCACGGCAGAAATAGGCAGAGCGGTGGTACCTACCCGGAGGGACTCAGAAGAGGTCCTACCACCAGTAATTACGCAAATTATAATTTTGCGGATTTGATTTTCATTACACGATGTTATTCCTTCACCGTGGAAGTCAATCGCGAACATTTGTTGAGTACGTATTTCATTAGAAAAATCGGTACCCCTGCCTGGGATTCGAACACCGGTGCATCGCTCAACACGAATACACCGGACGTCTTATCCATTAGGCCACGACGACTTCAATATTTGGACTGTATGGTGATAAATTCAAAAACTGTAACAAATAAAAGTAAACATGAACAAGAAAGGGAAAGGTGAAATAATTTAGATGGTTTTCATTTCTGATCACATATTCGTGATTTAATATTACTTACATCGACGGATAAATTAATCAACAAGAGTAAGTAACGTTTGTTTTTGAGATCTAAATAATACTCTAGGTGGTGATAGAAGAGAGGTTCATTCTGCAGTTCCACTATACGCAGTGGCACTCTCACACGTGTCCATTCAGCAACGCGCTCCTCGAGTTCAGGAGACGTGTCAGAGCGGTGGTTGGCAGGAGGCTGGCCGTCAACCCTGCAGCGGGACCCATGGTCGTGCACTGCAAGTAAGTATATTGTACTTTTTTAATTATTTTTTTCTCTAGATAGGTAGAGGAATTCATAACTCATCTGGTGCTTAGCGGTTACCGGAACTTGGCTCCATCAATGTCAATGTCACAAAGTGGGTGGCAACATACGCAAGTCATGTTTTCAAAATAGCATTTCAATAGCAAAAAGCACACTAGCTTTAAGTAGAAACGTGTATTACACTACAGATTTGGTCAATATACATATAATGATATTGGGTACTTCAGAATCAATAAACCTACCTTTTTAGAAAAATCCTTTTTAGAAAACTAAAGAGTTCTAGAAAATGAAGGTTTTTCTTAACATATTATCAGACAAGTGATAATTAAAAAAGAAACGTAAACTAATAATTTTATATATTTTAGTGATGGTGGAGGTAGATCGGGCGTGTACTTAGCTATCGACGCGAATTTGGAACTAGCTGAAGAGGAAGACAGCTTTGATGTCTTCGGATGTTTGAAAAAACTCCGGGAATCCCGAAAAGGGCTTATTGAAAACGAGGTATGAAATCCCTAATAAAAATTTAATCTATCCTAGAGATACCATATAAAAAAAATCAATGTGATATTACTAATTTTCCGTCAATTAATTCAGCATAATTTTTCTATCGTTAATAGGAACAATACAAATTTGTCTACGATACGTTAGAGGAACACGTCGTCTGCGGTATTTCATGGTTTCCAGTCTCCGAACTGTCGCAGAGGCTGAAGCAAAAATCCCAGAGGGACCCCGTCACGAAACTCAATGAGTACCAAAAGGAATACCAGCAAATATGTAAACAGACGCCGAGGTTCACGATAGGGGATTGCGCTGGGGGTCATCGAGGTGATAATCGGGAAAAGAACCGCGATGTTCTAGTGGTGCCTCGTAAGTAACAATTGTTTTGCCCTCCATTTGTGTATCAGCTCACAGCGCACATGCTATAAACGGGTTGCCAGAATATGCGAAATTTTTAATTAACCCGATTTTAAAAACATCGATTAAAACGATGAAACCATATGGAACATCCCTATTTGCCAACCCGCTCGTCACCGTAGTGTGGTCATTTTATAGAAAATTCAGGGCCACAAAAAAGGCTATAGACCTCACAAACTGAATACCGCTACATGAATGAAACAAAGACATCAAAGTTTCAATTGTGTAGCACTTTCATCATAATCATTAGCCCACAATCGTCCACTGCTGGACATAGGTCAATCCCAATCCACACCACTGAGCACAGCCTTCAGCTCTCCTCATCCAACTCTTGCCGGCCACCCTTCGGAGGTCATCGCACCATCGAGCCAAGGGGCGTACCGACTGGCTCACCCTTTTAACGAGAACGCATAACTGCTTCACCCCAGAAATAGGCCAGATTACCTACATTACTACCTACAAGTGCCACATCCAACACGACCTTATATCAAATGTGCGTGTGAGAGCATCCACAATACAATAGGCTGGAATTTTGTTTCAGAAAACTCAAATGTTTCTATTTTTCAGCTGACAATTTTCGTCCCTATTTGACATCATTTCAAGGAAACAGTTTCACTGATTACATCAACGCCGTGTTCGTGGATGTAAGTAAAATTATAACAACACAAATATTATTTGAAAAGTTTAAAATTATTATTTTTTCTCCTACCTACGCCCAAATTTCGGTTTTCGTCCCGAGAAAGTGTAACTTTTCCTCCCGCTGCACAGGGAAGAAAGTGTAACTTTTTCTCCCTGGGTACAAGTGCGCATGCGCGTTAGTGTCTACGTCTGCTCTCACGCACCTAAAATTCTCCGCCATTGTTGTGCTCGGGTGATTAGTGATCGGTAATTTGCAATATTGTGTTTAGTGTAAAAGTGAAATAAACAAAAGGCAATAAAATTTAATAGTGAAGTATTAAACAAAGATGAGTTCATCAGACAGTTCTTATTCAATTAGTAGTAGTTTATTTAAAAATTAAAAAACAGTTAAATTGTTTATTTTATGAGTACGGGGGGCTTCGGCCCCCCAACCCCCGGCCAGGGCATCGCCTCTGGACCCCGGCTCGGTACTCCACGAACTTTCGGCCTGGTAGGAGAAAAAATAGTATGTGCACCGCGGGAAAAAAGTAGGATATTTCCTCCCGCGTGTAAAATTGCCACCCGAGCCGAAGGCTAGGAAAGCTAGGAAGGAAATGTCCTACTTTTCTCCCTTGGTGCACAATGTACTTACTATTAATCTTGATCAATTCACAATTTATGAATTTCAATTGATCTAATTGTAAATAGCTCGCTTATTTATTGTTGTGGTTAAACTGATTTACATTATGTTGTTTCTGATTTGTTGCCTAAGGGGCTACTTCAATTACGCGCGGACTGGTAGGTTCGTTCGCCGAATCTTATTAGGTCGCAATTCCGATCCAGTGGTAAATTCTGCGAAGCAATGCTTTTGTTAGGGTTAACAAATTCATTCAGGCTGAGCCCGTGAGCTCATCTATCCGTCTCGGTGTAGCTGGCATACAACTCTTAGGCTACCTTTTTTTTTTATTGCATAGGACGGTGGTCAAGCTCTCAGCCCACCTGGTGTTAAGTGATTACCAGAGCCTATAGACATCCACAACGTAAATGCCGTCACCCGTCTCGAGATATGAGTTTTAAGGTCTCAGTATAGTTAAAACGGCTGCCCCACCCTTCATACCGAAACGTATTACTGCTTCATGACAGAAATAGGCAGGGTGGTGGTACCTACAGGTGCGGACTCACAAGACGTCCTACCACCAGTAAAAAGCGAATAGGCAGGGAAAAAATCTACCTGAGAGGACTTACTAATACTAACAGCCCTTCATTAAATGTAACACCGAATCGGAATCGCGATCTCCTGAGAAGATACAGAGAGAAACTCAGTTGATTATATCTACGATTTAAGTTTCACGTCGAACTCTTCAAAATATATTGTTTACTTATGATGTATTTAAAACTTATTTTCTTTTAAATTTATTTTCTTGTTCATAGCAGATTGACTGAAGTGCTTATGGGTCCGAATTTAGTTATTACATTAGTTTAATTTAAATAAAATGTATTATTAAGTTTTCACTGAAACCCGTAGACTTCATAATTATTATTGAATTTCAATTTATTTCAAATCTGTCAAATAGGACCGCATGAAATCTACGCGGCAGATATATACCGTATGGGTTCCTAATTCTAACTGACATAATACTGTTCACAGGGTTACACCAAGCCTCGTGAGTACATAGTGACGGAATGGCCTCTGATGATGACTCAAGGAGAGTTTTGGTCTTTAGTATACGATTATGAATGCGCTGCGGTCGTTGTTTTATGTGTTCCACCGAAGAATTCTGTAAGTACACTCAACTACTATCTTATCCACCTTCTTGCGTCGTATACCTCACTGCTGAGGGTCGTAACCGCCCTTCTGTATCAGCTTCTAACGCACGATTTTTCGCCATGGTTTTGTCTTTGACAGTGTGGAGGGCGTTGTGAAATGAGGAATTTTATAAGCGACTAGCTGCATCCGTCCGCTTCGCTGGGCATTTAAAATTAACATTATTATTTCTCACCCCCCACAAAGATTCTCATCATTAACGCCCCCGCAACTGGTGTAGGGAGTCCAATACTCATATAAATATTAGCCTATCCATTAAGTACATGTATTTTCTACACGGATACCAAGTTTGAAGTCAATCGGATGCATGGTTCAGTAGTTATAACGGAACATCCGTAAAAACCACTGTATATTTATATATTAGTATAGATTAAAAAGACGACCATCGTTCTGAATAGAAAGAAATATAGTCTAGATTAATATATTTAAACCGCGGGATGCTCGATGTGAGCATGGCAATAATCTGTTCTATCTGTCTAAGTATGAAGCAATAATGAAGTTGTCGATTTTGCTTCTCCGCAAAAGTGTGGGGTGGACCAAACTTATTACTTTTGAAACAATAAAATATTAGATGTGTGAGCTTAAAACTATTAATTCATTATAAGAATACATAGTCAAATAGGTATTTTTTTTCTTTTAATTAATAACATTATTATACATTATAATTACAATAATTATATATGTGACCCTTGACTGTTATGACATGGTGTAACCTAGATTGAAAATGTGTACATTGACGCAATATGGGCCATACTGTCAAGAGCTTAAAGCTTTTTTGTGTTATTTACAGCTTAATAATCAACATGAAAATAACAATATATTATTATATTTTTCAGCAACAATACCCGCCGTTTTGGCCCGAGGGACGGCATTCTAAGAAATATGGACCAGTTTTTACAATAGATCACGTATCTCATAATCATTATACTAATATTAAGACTTGGATATTTAGGATCAATAAGAAGGTATGGCTTTTATTGTGAATTGTTTTGTTCATATATTACTTGTTATTATAAATTAGATTGTATCATCCGATTTATTTCTATATTCATTTAGTATTTGATATGTCTGTATTTTATAAAAAAAAAACTAGCCTAGCTGCTGCGACATTTTTGTTAGTCCAAATTAATTTGTCGTTTTTAATAATCGCTTCGTTTTGATCTATAAAGAAGTTTAAAGCCAAAGGTAGCCAAATAAATGAACGAAATTAATGATAATTTAAATAAAATTACTGGCCCCGAAACAATCGCACTGTGATTGAATCACGATAAACGATTGAATCATTTTGTGGATTTGAAAAAAAAAAACTTTTATTCTTGTTGAATAAAACTTTATTCTTTTCAAAGTCTGTGCAAATTGAAAAAGGTTTGAATAGACTCACATCAAGCGAGGATTGTGAATGCAGTTAGGGCCAATTCGAGTATTGTGCCTCTGTTGAAATCGATTTTTTTTTTGTAATCAGATAATTTCACTGACTGAACTGATGGCTGGAGTCAAAGCTCCAACGAAAACAGTGCAACTATTCCAATTGACGTGTTGGCCAATGGGCCACAAGGTTCCGTCATCGACCAATTCACTAGTGGAGCTGATGAACATGGTGGAACGCTGGCGACAGCGGACAGACTACGGACCAGTCTGCGTTGTATCACCGTAAGTCAAAATGAAGATCTTTGAAAATATTTAATAAGAACCTACTGACTCGGCAGATTTCGTAGTACCTCAATTGATAAATTAAAGACCTAAACTTTTGTATAAAATAAACTTAAAACAAATAAAAGGAATCCGTCCGACGGGGGACACATCAAAGGAAAAACAATATCGTTATTTTTGTTTAACTTCATATATATCTATCTTTTAAACCTTCTCTGGACTTCCACAAATAATTCAAGACCAAAGTTAGCCAAATTGGTCCAGCCGTTCTCGTGTTTTAGCGAGTCTAACGAACATCAATTCATTTTCATATATATGGATTGATTCTGAAGTGCCCAATATCTTTGTATGTATATTGACGAATCTGTACGTGTAATAAACTATTATTAGATGTTGCTACTTAAAGCTAGGGTGCTTTTTTGCTATAGCTTAGAATCCATGGAAAGCATGACTTTATGTATGCCGCCACCCACTTTGTGACATTGACTTTGATGGAGCCAACAGCAATTCATTTTTATATTTACATATATAGATTACACATTTTTATAACTATAGCTATTTTATTAAGGGATGGACGCAGCCGGGCCGGTGTCTACTGCGCAGCCAACGCGTGCATCGAACAAGTCATAAAGCACGGCGAGGTGGACGTGTTTCAAGCTGTGAAGACTGTTCGACGACACCGGCCACAGCTCGTCGAGAACATGGTATGAAAACTACATACTTTTTAATTTACTCTTTTCAATGGAATCGTTATAAACACCCTCTTTTTTCTTGCAGACCGAATACAAGTACTGCTACGATCTAGTTCTCCATTACGTGTTGCACTATTTAAATAAAGATATGAACGAAAAAAAGTGAGAGTGCGAACTCAAAGACGAACTCTGGTTCATCGAGTTCGGGCGCGGCGCGGCGCTACCCACGACGCCGGAGGAGACCAGCCCCTCCGCGGCGCCGCGCGACCACAAGCGGCCCCAGCGCCCTCGCCGCGGGCTCTCTCTGGACCGCCTGCTGCCCGCGCCCGCTCGTCCTCAGCTGCCGCACGCCGCTACCGTCGAAGCCCCTCGTCGTCCCCGTCGGGACCGCCCTCCGCTGCGTCGCTCTATCCGCCTTGAAGACGACGACGCCGCAGCGGATGAACGCAGGCGAGCCTTTGGCCGCGGACCTCGAGCTCCCTCCTTCGACGAAGGCGACGTCAGCGACGAGCACGAGGAATGCGATTGCGCCCGCGTCTCTCTCGAGCGCTCCGGCCCTTCCACCGAAGCGCCCGACGAAGATGACTACGAACCAGAATTTGTCGCCTCTCCGCCTTACCTGTGCGATAGGCCGACCCCGGAACTGCCGCCTCGAGCCGGTTCCTCGGATCGAGTTTTGGAGCCCCGAGATGCACCCCGCGGTCCGTCGCGTGCCCATTCGCAAGGTGTTTTCGAAAGACGATTGCCAAAAATTTATAAATTCGGTTTAATGGACAAATCGAAACGAGCCAGTTCGAGCGCTCTTTACGAACGGGCCCCTCGCTCTCCGACCGAAGCTTTTTATAACGCTACCGGATCTACGAGACTGAGCTCACAAGAGCTTTTCGAGAAATTCTGTTCAGAGGATTTTACATCCCTATATGGACGCGAAGATGATCGGCGCAAGCGACCGCCACACTCGAAATCGACCGGCAGCAGCGGCTCCGACGTCCGACACGAACGTACGTGCTGTCGACGCACACCGTGCAGCTCCCAGCCTGCTCTCGGCCGCCGCCACATGTGCCATGCAGCAAGATCTGATCGCTCGACTGATTCCGAGGACATGTCACCGCACCGCGCCGGTATGAGACCGTTACCCCTGGAGTCAGATCGTGATGGTCAACACTCTAGCTGTTCACGTTCTGCGCCGCTTTTGAGTCCGGACCGTTTTGAAGCTCGTTTCACATTCGACATCTCAGAACGCAGCGAAGCCACATCAAACCGAGACGAGACCCCTTCGGATGCTACTGAAACGAGGAATCTGACTCTTTACGAAGAACCACATTCGGATCGAACCAGTCTCTGTGAGCTCTATGATGCTGCGTTTTCTTCACAACGACCTTCATTTCGAAGAGACGGATCTCGTCGCCACGCGGGTGTCGTAGATTTGAGCGCGCTTAATTTTCGCGCCATTGACGACGAAAGTCCTCGTGCCAGTCGACGCACATCCCAACGGAGCGTTGATGAAACGCTACGTCAGAATTCTGAGACGCGCAGCTGGGCATCAGATTCCGTGTTCACGACTCCGGAACGACGTTTTCCTGCGGCATCTTCGCCATCCTCCGATGGCACACATCTCTCTGTTACTGCGCAAGCTGAATCCCCGCGTGCTGATTCAGCTGCGGCCGACTCCACCATCGCCGACACGACTGTCGTCGAAGAGGAACCGCCAAGCGTGATAGAACGAACAGAATACACACTCGCTCTGAAGCTCGGACGTATTGACCTGGAAGACGAGCCGTCCGAGAGAAACTCCACACCGGCGGGGGGAAGTGCGCGTCTTTCGAGTCGCCCATCGATGCACAAGCTAGAACCAATCGAGCCGGAACGTCTGTGCGGTGGCGCTAGTGAGGCGGCGAGTGTGCGGTCGGTGCGCGCGGTGCTGCGGCGTCGCGGTGCCAGCGAGCCGCGCCGATCCTCGCGCTGCTTCCCGCTCTGACTGCGCGCGGCGGTGACGACTCCTGCGTTGCGTCGCAGTCGTCGCCGCAAACCGCCGCCCCTCCTCGTGCCTTCCCGCCATCTCCCTCTCTATCGTCCTCGGCTAACGCCGTATCTTCGAGCGCGTCACTATCCGGCGTCAAACGGTACATTTGCGTTGGGTATCCGACGACAATTTCGATCATTTAGATAGAATAGTCTCCTTGTATTATAGCATCTCTCCCTCTAGTTGTCGTTCGTACACTTAATTGTCGTGACTGCCAAATTTTTACAATGATCATCTTAGTTGTCTCAAGAGTAGTTAGGTAGGTAGCGTAGGGCCCTCTATCGATATCGATAAATAGGCAGTGCCTGATTGAAACACTACGTGCGTAGAGCGTAGATTCTAAATTTCGTAGATAGAAATTGATCCCGAGACTCGCTGCGGGCGCCTCGGATGCAGTCCACGACTGACACAGGGTCAAGTGTTTAGAGAACTAATTACATTTAACTCACCCGCTCACACTGGTGTCCGAAAATTTGCATTAAAGAACCGTAAATTTAATCTTTTCCTACTTATGGCACTACTTTTAATGTATACAAATAGTTTACGTATAGAATTTACAAAGGAAACAATCCTAGTGATCAGAATGAAACCAGACCCATGTGCCCACACCGGTGTGAACTGGATTTTATGTCGTCATAATTGTAATGTACGACAGACTACCTAGCTAGAACTTTAGATTTAATATTATATATTTTAGAGTAACAATAAAATATTGTATACATACGTGCTTTTTATAAAAAGCTGAAACTATAGTTTCGAAGCGAGATCTAAACACAACACGGAACACCCGAATAAAAGAAAATATTTGTATGAAATAATATGAACGTGTAATATTAAATAAAACTAAGTGTTGTTTTTTTAAAGGTTTGAATGTCGTGTTCGTCGATGTTGTTCAATATTTATCTAATTTATTCCAATATGTTTCGAAAATATTTAATATTTTGTGTGCGATCATGTTTATATTTATCCAATATGATTAATATATTATATTATAAAAACTATTAACTATATCGTAGCGTTTAATTAAGGATGTAAATTGAGCATTTCATGTTTTACTTGTGTCAATGTGAAAAATTACAAAAAAGAAAAAAACTCGTATTTATAGTGCCAATCATTTTAAATTATTACTTTATGTGTAACAAAGATCATTCGATGATTTGAAAATAAATTGATTTTTATATATATATATATATATATATATATAAAGGAACACGGAAGATCAATTGAGTCTTCTTTCAAATAAAGTGCCAAGCACTTCTTTGTTTCCTTTCTCCTCCGAAATATCATGTTTTCCAATATAAATAGTTAGGTGACGCCAAATATGAATTGAATTACTCATGAAGTTATAAAAAAATATAGTGGAATTCCTGTTTGTCTTTGTTCTCGCCAAAAAAAAACTGAAAATATATATATTTCTACGAAAACGAGCAGCGTAAATAACAAAAAAACTATGAAAATACTTTTAATCTCTCAAATGCATGAACTACGTGAATAGTAACTTGTCATCAAGTCCCTTAGGTTAAAATGCAAACAAAAAAATACCTTAAAACAAACGGAAAAAGAACTATATTCATTTGATAAACTAAGAGTGAGAATTGCTCTTCTATTAAGTTACGTGAATTCACTATACAAACCTTTGACGCAAGGGCGGGCGGATCCAGCTTTGACGCCAGAAGGGGGTCACATAGTCGTGGGCAAGTTAAGAACTTATAATTTAATTTTGATAACAATAGATAATAAATAAATTATGATGTTCTTCAATTAGTCCAACTTAGTTCAAATCCTGGAACTAGCTCAGGGGGAGGTCATGACCCCCATGACCCCCCCCCCCCTGTATCCGCCGTTGCTTTGACGGACGTCACTAGATGATTTTTACGAGATATCTGATATTTACTGCTACCCTACAGCATTTCGATCCGGTGGTAGATTCTGCGAAGCACCGCTCTCGCTAGGGCCAGTGTTAGCAACACTTCCGATTTGAGCCCCGTGAGCTCATCTACACGTTAGGGTAAAGCTGAAATAGCCTCTCAAGGCTATCAGCATAGGCAGGAAAAAGAAATCTTTTTTAATTCTATCGTGACATAGTCATTTTTTTGTTTGTTTCAATACTGAAACAGCCACTATTGCAATTGTAAGACCACACAATCTCGTCTCTCATAGTAGGTAGATATATTTCCGATGTTGTATCTATTAAGTTGTCCACTCACCGAAATCATTAGAAAAACCTTGCTTTAAATCGGAAGTACAAAATTAATTGATTGCAGATTATTTTTTTAAATAAACATCACTAAATCTTTTCGAAGACAATTTTCAAATCCTTTATTTTAATATGGTAATAATTTCATATGTAGAATAAAATTAAAAAATATAAAACGCACAAAAGTTATAATATGTATTTACATAAACTTTTTAACGAATCCCTTTAAATTTAAAATTACAACATATCTAGGAGTGAAAAGTTATTTGGCTTAAGTGACATTTTTGCAATTTTACAGGAGAGCTATTTAATGTTTAAAATCTATCTATATATATAAAAATTAATTGCTGTTCGTTAATGTCGCTAAAACTCGAGAACGACTGGACCGATTTAGCTAATTTTGGTCTTGAATTATTTGTGAAAATCCAGAAAATGTTTTAAATATGAAAATGCTCGGAATTAAATAGAAATAACAATTTTGTTTTTCCTTTGATGTGTCCTCCGTCGGACGGATTCCTTTTGTTTGTTTTAAGTTTATTTTATACAAAAGTTTAGGTCTTTTATTTATCGATTGAGGCACTACGAAGTCTGACGGGTCAGCTAGTTTGGAATAAATACTATCGTAACAAAAAAACCTCTATGGTAAACTTAATTGATATTCAATTAAAAACGTCGAATTAGTGATACTAATTCCAAATAAAAGGGACCTTTTAATTACAAAGATAAATGTCACTTAAACCAAAACGCCTTTCAGGCCTCTATATGTATAAAATTTAAAATTTCACCACATGATCCCTAATGAAAGATTGTGTATTGTAGTTTTTGTATTGCTTTATGTATTCACAATTGCGTATTATCCTATTTGCCATCTCTAAATTACAACAACTAATGTAATCAAACCACTTCTATTTTATTCGTGTTAAGAAAATTTAGCAATTGTATTTGAAAAAAAACCTATTAGGCTTGAAAATCATTTATTCT